AATTTTATGCCATTTTTCACATTCATGTTAATAAAATGTCTTCAAATATGTGATGTCCGGGTCTGTGGATGGCATGTGTGGTGGACGTGGGGTTCGGTGCCATCGGTTGATTGGATTAGCAAATGGTTGACACAAAATAAGCGCAAAACATTTTATCATTATTTACACCAAAATTTGTAAATCGTTATCGAAAAGCATTATAAGTTGTCTCCAAATCTGTTGACCAAAAATAAAACTCATTCTCTTCTCTCGAAAACTATTATAAAAACATAATTTTGAAGTTTTTGGGGGTCAGAGGGATGTGTTGGGTTGAGAGGGTGTAAACAAATACTTGAATATTATTACATATTATGATGAAAATCTCTTCGGAAATGCTTTCGTATTGTTTTAGACAACAAAAAAAATTGAGAAAACTTTTTGAAAAACATTTTTACATTCAAATTGTAGTGAAGGGAATGGAATAATAATATAATTAATTCATATAACGGCTTATTATATATATATTTCTTAATATATTTATATATTGAATGTATTTATAATTATGTATAAAGAGTGTCGCGATTCTGGATGATTGTGATGTGGGAACAGCCAAATTTTATGCCATTTTTCACATTCATGTTAATAAAATGTCTTCAAATATGTGATGTCCGGGTCTGTGGATGGCATGTGTGGTGGACGTGGGGTTCGGTGCCATCGGTTGATTGGATTAGCAAATGGTCGACACAAAATAAGCGCAAAACATTTTATCATTATTTACACCAAAATTTGTAAATCCTTATCGAAAAGCATTATAAGTTGTCTCCAAATCTGTTGACCAAAAATAAAACTCATTCTCTTCTCTCGAAAACTATTATAAAAACATAATTTTGAAGTTTTGGGGGTCAGGTATGTGTTGGGTTGAGAGGGTGTAAACAAATACTTGAATATTATTACATATTATGATAAAAATCTCTTCGGAAATGCTTTCGTATTGTTTTTAGACAACAAAACAAAATTGAGAAAACTTTTTGAGAAACATTTTTACATTCAAATTGTAGTGAAGGGAATGGAATCATAATATAATTAATTCATATAACGGCTTATTATATATATATTTCTTAATATATTTATATATTGAATGTATTTATAATTATGTATAAAGAGTGTCGCGATTCTGGATGATTGTGATGTGGGAACAGCCAAACAACTCATTGACAAAACCTAATTGATCTGGCTTATAATATGGAGCAACTGGCACTACAGCACCCACTGCTCCGGTCTTTGCTTTTTTGTCGTTGATCTGCAAACAAAATAAATTACAATTAATTTCAATTATTTATCAAAAGTTTAGTTGTGAGCCCATTCAAACAACATATTTTGACATTTGATCTAGATACAGTTATAAATATGAATTAATTTTATTCATACTTTTATAAATAATCAAGAAAATGGTAAAGTATTTGATTTTATATTTTGAGTATTAAATAAATATATTAAATTGTCTCTAATCCTAAAATTAATAGCTAAGTGCATTAACATAAATAATTTTCAACACATTTAAAATCAAATCAATTGGCTTTATATTCAAAAATATATTCATTTCAAATAATGCTACTAATGTTTAGTGCATAATATATTTATATAGTATATTATAAAAGAAGTAATAATAATAAGCGACTGATCATAGGCTTAAAATATGATCCAAATAGAGTAGTTGTCATCAATTCTCTACCCCTCATCCCAATTGCTAATCCAAACCACAAACAATCACAACTTATATATAAATAAACTGAAATTCCGCCAATAAATGAACCCAAAAATCCATAAAAATAGGATTCATATCATTTGGACTAAAACTAAAGCCTATTCTTCTAGCCATAGGATCTCTATTAATATCAAATGCATTAGAAATATAAAAATTGAATCTTTTTATTCAACAACAAAATCCAGATTTATTTCAATACAAACCTATTACAGTACTGTATTGAGAAAAAACTGTATAAAATTTACATTAATTTTCCTGTGAATTATGAGTTAAATTGAATCGTAAAAAATGCAATTGAAATAAAGGGAAAGGGATGACCCAAATAGTCGTTCAAAAAATTCAAAGTAATTCTTTGTTGTAATTATAATAAAAAAGTTTTTTAATTTAAATATCATTTTAAACGCTTTCATGAATTCAATTGTAATTAAAGTCATTCAAAGATCGGTAAAACACTTTTCGTATTTAACACAAAAACGTCTATTTTATGCGTTAGTAAATAGTTCACAAAAAAGTCTGAATATAATTAATTTTTAAAAATATTTCCGACCCTTATTTGCATAAAAAATCTAAATTCCCACGAAATGTCAGTAAAACTCATTGTGTTTAAGTGTTTAAACAGAAAATGTTTGATTAAATTCATTGTTTGATACAATTTAATAACAAAAACGAGGAAAAATTTAATTAATATTCAAAATATAGTTTCCATAAAATATCTATACTTTATGTCAAATGAAAAATTTCTTGCGAAATATCAAGAAAACTATCCCTTAAAATAGATTTTGCATTAAAAGTTCAAATAAAAAAATGTGAATTGAAAAATTTCATAATTTAATCTCAAAATAGATTACATTTTTAATGAACTAGCATAAAACGTGAATAAAAACTATTTAATTAAAAAACTCCATTCAATCAAATAAACCATATAATCAAGTATTAGATAATAGGTACTCATTAGATGTATAATATATTCCCAATTCTTATAACAAACTAAAAATATTTTAATTTAAGAGTTACTATAATATAGTTAAACATCAAAATTAAACCTGATTTGAGTTCAGGGGAAAATTCTAACCAATTCTAAAAATTTCAATTAAAATAAAACCCTATTTGTAATTATTTTATTCACGACAATAAATACATCTCATTATATCCATCACTAATTTCTCTGTGAATAGAAAAAATTTCATAACCCGGTTATACAAACAGGGGTTCATTATGAAAGTCTATGTGTATTATATAATAGTTTTTATTATTAAGTAATTTTCACAATATTGTCCTTAAATTACTGCTGTATATAAACACCAAAAATCGATTTCAATAGAAATTTCCACACAAATCGTAATGAATACTAATTATAATGTAATTAAAATGAGAGAAAAGTTTCTCCTCAAAAAATTTAATGACAAATACATTATATTGAAAGAAATATTGGAAAACAATATTTGTTTGTTATGAAAGTGATGAGTGCTATAATAAAACTACAATAATAATAATAAAACAACAAAAATAAAAATTCAAATTTCAAGTGAAAGCAATTTGAGTTTAAATGTCAAATGAATGAGAAAGATAGTGAATTAAATTTGAATATTAGTTTTAGTTTTAAAGTTAATTAGCATTGAAAACACATTACATGTATTCACTAAAAAGTATACTTAATGCAAATTACTATAAAAATCTGAATCTAATCTTATACTTAAAATCAATTCACATAAAAAACTATCTAATATTGTATAAAAACCTCAGAAAATGAGATTAACTTTCAATGTCTTCATAAACAACAAAATAGCCGCAAATAATAATGATTGATATAAAAGTACTCATTTTGACACCATTTATAGAAAAAAATTTCATAACCCGGTTATACAAACAGGGGTTCATTATGAAAGTCTATGTGTATTATATAATAGTTTTTATTATTAAGTAATTTTCACAATATTGTCCTTAAATTACTGCTGTATATAAACACTAAAAATCGATTTCAATAGAAATTTCCACACAAATCGTAATGAATACTAATTATAATGTAATTAAAATGAAAGAAAAGTTTTCTCCTCAAAAAATTTAATGACAAATACATTATATTGAAAGAAATATTAAAAAACAATATTTGTTTGTTATGAAAGTGATGAGTGCTATAATAAAACTACAATAATAATAATAAAACAGCAAAAATAAAAATTCAAATTTCAAGTGAAAGCAATTTAAGTTTAAATGTCAAATGAATGAGAAAGATAGTGAATTAATTTGAATATTAGTTTTAGTTTTAAAGTTAATTAGCATTGAAAACACATTACATGTATTCACTAAAAAAGTATACTTAATGCAAATTACTATAAAAATCTGAATCTAATCTTATACTTAAAATCAATTCACATAAAAACTATCTAATATTGTATAAAAACCTCAGAAAATGAGATTAACTTTCAATGTCTTCATAAACAACAAAATAGCCGCAAATAATAATGATTGATATAAAAGTACTCATTTTGACACCATTTATAGCATTAATTACCGAAACATTTCACTATTCATACCATTAATGACTGCATTCTATGCCTTAATTTAGTCACAAAATGTTTAGTAAATGGAGAGAGAAATCAATAGTAAAATAGGAGAACAGCAGAGAAAATGTCTATTATATTGAATTATAGCAACAATAATAGGAAAATCGATTGCAATTCACTTCTCACTAGAGATACGACGGTATGAATCAGAGATGGGATCTCTCTGTATATCTGCCATACATTCACATCTAAGCCGTGGGGTTGGGATCTGACGGTGCGATTATAATCGACAATTTTAAGCAAACTTTTATCAAATGGATTTGCCATCAAAATACTTATGCATTGAGTGAATAGGAAACTAATATCTAGTGAAATGGCATTCAATTGCATTTGAACAGTCACTACAATAACATTCATTCAAATATGATAACCAAATATTAAATATTTTAAATAGATTTATGTTGGTGAGTTTCTAAACCAAATTCTGGCCTTATGAGCTAAACAAATATCATTTTATAAATATTTCCTAAATTGTATTGGTAATTATTGTTAAAGTATTATATTATACATTAGGGATAGAGTGGTGTTAAATGCACAACAAATTTAAGACTAATTCACGAAAAGTTTAATAAAATATTAGCATAAAGAATATGAAGACTTATAAAAATTTTCAATTAAATGTGAGCAAATGATATGTCATTATAAATATTCACAATTAATTTCCGTCCAAAGAATGAGAGGATTATAAATAATAAACAAAAACTAATAGCTTTTCAACGAAAGGGAGTGAAAGAGAATTAATTACATTAAAATGTTTCTTAAAATAGTGTCACAAATATTGCACAAAAACTTATTGCCAAAACTCAATGAAAACGAAACTTTCTATTCAAACAAAACACATATTTATTTAAATGTCGTTTCGTTTGATTCATCGAAAAATTTTTGGCAAATAGTTATACGTTTGAAAGCGGAGGCCGAGTGAGAGGGAAAGGGGGTCGACATATGAGGACTGACTGGTAATTACTTTCACTTAAAACTCGAGCATATTTGCACATATTTTGGGGGTATTTAAAGTTTGCAAAATTGGATCTCAAAAATCAAAACATCAGCACAAATGAGAAATAGTCGTACGAGTCGTCAAATAAATAGTGTCTCGGCTGGGGATGGGGTCAACACAGGCTCTCGCAAAGTGAATGCTCTCTCTCTCTCTCCATTTAGTGACTCAGAAATTAGATGCCATGAGTTATAAATGTATAACGAATTCAGAGGCACTGATACTGAAACAAACACATTGATAGCATAGGGAGCCATACATTTTCCGCCGCTACAGGAATTTCTTAGGCCTCTCTCCCCTCGCTCTCACTTTCCCTCTCCATCCCTACCAACCCATCCAAGTCTCTCTCTCTCTCTCTCTCTCTCTCTCTCTTCCTGTGTTATACTGGAGTATTGGATGGCATATACAGGGAGTCGAGTATTTAGTGCATAGCAATGGCATATGTATTCAATTCTTGCACTGTTTTCCCAAATAATAAACATTAAACTCATATAAATATACACTGTTTTCGAGACTAAACTTCTCAAACAGTCGATGCGAAACGTTTTGCAACATTTAATCCCCAAAAAACACATTAAATGGTATTAATTTTCTGGGCCCTAAAAAAGTGCCTCACAATCAATGAATGGTATATGAAATGATAGATTGAATAATATATCAAATAATACGATATTATGAGTAAAAAAAGTTACATAAAACAGAATTCTTTCTATAATATAATTCAAATGAAATTCAAATATAAAAGAAATGATACAAACATTAATATCACAGTTTATATAATATACTGAAAATAGGAGTCAAAAATCGCATTAAATATAAATTATTTGCATTTATTGTGTACTTTTTGAATTGAATTTAACGATTCATATAATATGCAAGCAATATGTATACACATGTTTTGTTAAATGGTATTTGCCGTATATTCTCTGAATTAAAAAAATTATTTTCAATAAATAGTCACATAAATTACCAGTAACTTCAAATATGAGTGCAAAAGTACTTTTACAATAGCATTGAAATGCATACAGGTACAATCTGTGACATAGATTCATAGATTCTATGTATACTGTACATTGTATAATAGAGTAAATGTATAGTGTATTATGAAAAATTTATTTTCACATAAATTACTGAAGTAATAGTTCCTGTGAAATATTGGTGCAATAATACAACATTAAAGTTAATACTTATATCAGGGTGATATTTATAGAAAATTACTTCTCAATTGAAATATTGCAATGATAACAACCCTAATACAGTACTGTATGAACACTATTAATAGGTATACAAAAGACTTGGAAAATGTCAAAATATGTATCATAAAAGAAAATGTCATTTGATGGGCATTTATTGAACACATGCTTTAGGGTGGGGTTGGCACATACCTTGTGAGTTAGGCTCAGGTAGGTTTTCACGCGGAACCAAATGCATTACACTTGTCTTTCCTAATGGCAATTGTAGAGCTGTTTCCCAATCGAGGCGTTCAGACATACGATCATATAGTAGAGACACAAACGATACAAACAATTGTTATATTTTTAATACCAAACAATCAATACTGACTAATAAACTAATTATAATTAAAATATTGTGTATTTCGCATGACTTGATAGACAAACGTTTGCTATTCAGAGCTAATTATGTGTTAATTAATAACTAATGAAGTCATGGTTTGTGACTCTGTTAGTGAATACACTTATGTACAGAATATCTATATATACTCTATATTTCGGATAATTATTTATTTATAACATTTACGACGGCTTGTTAAGCACTGGTAGAGGGGGTGTGGGGGTCGGGTGAGGGGCTCACCTGCTAGTGTGACGTTCCCGTGTAGAAACCGACCCTGAAATATGAGTCGCAATATCTCAGCCCTCGATACCGACTCATCCATCCATTCTTCACGAGTCAATCCAATCGTAAGCCATAAGACAAATAAGAAACACAAAAAAACAAATGAGAAAATTGAAAGACATTTGCCTTTAAATCACATTATAGTCGACAAGAAGTTTTTTATAATGCTTTTCAGTGCACTTTTATGGCCATTATTTAAGGGCTCCGTTTGTGTCACTAGTCTTTGTGTCGCTCCGAAGGGAACGGCATTTGAACGGAAGAGATAACGGAAAAGTAAACCCAAAAAACAAAAATAAATACATAAAACGACTGAATCTCTACTCTAAGGACCCAATAAAATAATACTTAAATTAAAGTTTTAATTCAATAAAATGGTTACTAAAATAAATTTGTATTGTTTTATACGTAATGTTCATTACAATTATGTGCCGTTAAAATAAAATCTATAATAAAATGCTATTATTTGCGAGCATTTATATGACATTAACAATTTATACAAGAAATAATTACATAATCGCATAATTATAGTCTTAAATAACTATAATTATTGCTATAAAAATAAATCTGAGTTTGAAATGCAAAGTAAGTGCTCTAAGATTAATGAAATATTAATTGCATTAATAATACATAGATTTTATAATTATGTCTTATGAGCTAATGCAAAGTCTTTAAATAAATAAATAATAAAATTAAAACTCAGACACATATCATGAGATTTGTGTCAGAAATATGATAAACATATTTTAAATACAATATAAACATTCAGTTTTACGTTATTAGCAAAAGTTACTGCAAAATTTGAAGACAGGAAATGAAATGCAAATATAAGTTAAATAATAAAAATACTCAAAAATATAATCAATTATAATATATTATAATATAGATAAATGGGTATACCTTCAGGCCAGTTATCGAAAACATATTGTGCTATGTCTGCCGCCGAGTCGTTAGGTCTGTCCAAAAAAATAAAATAAATAGTCATTAATTAAACAAATATCTCATTTACAAAACTAGACATTATTTAACTGAAACCATAACTAATTTCTTAAAAATATATTATAGTCTAGACTTACAGTATATGATTATAATATGCGAATAAATTTTTATGAATAACATATAATTTAAAAATATCTGTAATCAAATCTAACTCCTAATTAATTTAAAATTAAGATTTATAGTTTTATAACTTTCACATTATTGTCTAAAACTACAAACTTGTTAAAAAACAATAATTATAATTATAATAACGAATAGAATATTCTTATCTAACATTTCTGAATATAAGCTCAAAAAATATTCATTCATATATGAAATCAAACAAAAAACAATTTCGATTTAATAACAACTAATTGAATATTGTTTGCAATGAAAATGTGTGTTAATATTGAGATAAAATACATACGAAAATAGGAATTCCTTTGCTTTCCCACTTTCGCCAAACGCCGGCAAAATGAGCCGTAAATTTATCTGATAAGAGAAAACAACATAATCGTTAAATACCATTTTAATTACAACACATTAATTATTTTAAATTCATATTAACAGCAACAATGGTATAGGAAATTGAATAGGAATTAGCATTTTGTCAGTCAGTTTAATGTGATATATATTTTCGCTTTGAAAGCTTTAATTGAAAATTTTTATTTTCATTTGTATTAAAACTAAATTTAATAAATGATTTCAGACGAGAGAGAGAGAGACTGTGAATAATAATACCCTTAAAAGGAAAGCAAATAAATATTAATTAAATACAACTTTGAAAAAAGTAAGAGTTATTCATGAAAACTAGCAGTTAATTATATCAGTTTATTATAAGATATAAAACGATGTAATACTTAGATCTCTATATAATTAATTTCGTACATAAAACCATTTATTTATTTATTTTCATATTAATATCGACGTGAATATAATAAATATAAATGAAGTCTCAAATGTTGGTCAAGGAGTCCATTGAGAAATGAAAACATTTATGATATTATATTAAATGTACAAAACGTGTAGAAATATCTACTCTTTATTACGACTTTTTTACTATTGGCATATTAATAATAACTAGCAATATTATTAATAAATGATATGTAAATACAGTGAATTATAGTTATAATTTGCCAATAATATGATTTGTAATAAAGTAAATAAGTACCATATTTAATATAAATTTAATACAAATAAATCCATGATTTTAAGGAACATTTACCCATTAATAAATTCAATAAACTTATTATACTTAACTCTAAATAATATTAAAGTAGTTTCAGTTAAATTACAAAATAATGTATTGATTAGAGAGACAAATATTCAATTATCAAAAAACAAAATTATATTTAATATTTAATCGATAAACGAAGTCAAGAGAGAAAAAGCCTGTTTTAATAAATGTTCAATGAAAAAAATAATATATAATAATCATAAATAAAAGCTGAAAAATTAAACTCATTTTTCAAGCGAAAAATAATTGCTTTAAACGACAGGAAATTCCTAAATGTTTAGAGAAGTGATGCCATAAATTGATTGCCTCCTAAAATATTAGCTCAAAAATTATGTGTTANTCGATGAATCAAACGAAACGACATTTAAATAAATATGTGTTTTGTTTGAATAGAAAGTTTCGTTTTCATTGAGTTTTGGCAATAAGTTTTTGTGCAATATTTGTGACACTATTTTAAGAAACATTTTTATGTAATTAATTCTCTTTCACTCCCTTTCGTTGAAAAGCTATTAGTTTTTGTTTATTATTTATAATCCTCTCATTCTTTGGACGGAAATTAATTGTGAATATTTATAACGACATATCCTTTGCTCACATTTAATTGAAAATTTTTATAAGTCTTCATATTCTTTATACTAATATTTTATTAAACTTTTCGTGAATTAGTCTTAAATTTGTTGTGCATTTAACACCACTCTATCTCTAATGTATAATATAATACTTTAATAATGATTACCAATATAATTTAGGAAATATTTATAAAAATGATATTTGTTTAGCTCATAGGTCCAGAATTTGGCTTAGAAACTCACCAAGATAAATCTATTTAAAATATTTAATATTTGGTTATCATATTTGAATGAATGTTATTGTAGTGACTGTTCAAATGCAATTGAATGCCATTTCACTAGATATTAGTTTCCTATTCACTCAATACATAAGTATTTTGATGGCAAATCCAATTGATAAAAGTTTGCTTAAAATTGTCGATTATAATCGCACCGTCAGATCCCAACCCCACGGCTTAGATGTGAATGTATGGCAGATATACAGAGAGATCCCATCTCTGATTCATACCGTCGTATCTCT